ACCAATCGAGGATCTACAAGCATTATAAATTCGAAATTAATAAATAGGTATTTAATATTATATTTTTATCGCATATATCTTTATTTATTTATCCATATATATAAATATATTTTGTATTGAACTAACCAGTTTAGCCCTTATAGCAAATAAGTTCAATCCAGCAGCTAAAGCTACGAATCCAATAAAACCTCAATCTTTCCAGTGCATAGAAAACATCAGTAACAAATAACATGGAGGAGCAGATAACCTAATCAGGTGTAGGATCAAATTTGCATTCATATATGTAGCATAGCCTAAGCTCTCTATGCTCGTGCACGCAGACGGCGTCAGCGACGAAGGAGGAGCCAACAGAAGTTTAGCCAATTAAAGTTGCGAAAAAAGGGAAATGTAACTGGGTTTCGACGAATCTCCTAAGATAACATTGTTGGGGGGACTTTTTATTTCGTATGAAAATGCATAAAGAAGATATTCGAAGGTCAATCTCACCAAAAATGACGACGGCTGATTCTCGTTATACTTCAAAAGAAGCATGACTAATATGAAAAATAATCGGCCAAACCATTCTACAGCTAGCTATGCCTATTACTTTTTCGTTTTTTACTTAGGTATATATATTATATATATATGAGGCGAGATAGAGCAGGATAGTCTTCTTGACCTAGTTGTAACGTAAGAGGTTTACAATAATGAGTTCCAGCTCTGATGATGTCCCTCATAAGATAGACGAAGACTCAGTCAATTTTCCCTTAAAGCGAGTGAGGATTTCACGTGGACTGGACCGAACTGAAGGTTGTATTTAAGCTAGACGACTACATTACAAGGGGAATCAGCCGTTGCCTACTGGTGAGATCGACCTTCGAATATCTTCCTCATTCACTTTCATATGAAATGAAAGTCTTCCCAGGAATTGTCCTAGAAAGGAGAAAAGTGACAAGGAACATCTCATTTTCTATTTATGTGGGCTAATGAAGGATAGTTGATAAGGTTTTTGCCTATATTTCGGTTCAACAGATTGTATATTGTAACAGTAGGACAGTTTTTCCTATTTTTTCATGTCCAATAAATGCGCTCCTTTAAGTGATAAGTAGGTAAAAGTATCATATTTGAGGAATAAAATACAAGTAAGGAGTAGGCTCATTTCAATGACTCACCCAACACAACGGTAATTTTGGATATCGTAAATCCAATGAAATTAATTCTAGAAAGCTCATGTAAAGACTCCACATCGCCTTATTGGATTGCAACGTATATTCCACTGCATTAAAATAACGTCTTACAGATTGGACTTGGCGAACCTGCATTAAAGTCTAAAGATTTCTTAAGGACTGATTTAGGACATTCATTCAAAAATATAAAGTATCACTTCCCTTATTTAGAGGAGCGATAAGGGCAATAAAACAGCCCTGGTTATCGGATAACAGTTACAGGATGCCAGACTTTCTCTCTACTGACTTCATAGTACAGCTCGCGACTTCCTTTATTTCCCCAATTTAATAGGTCTTTTCTGAACAAAATATGAATAAGACTAGAAAGTTTAATATAGAGGCGAATTCTTGATCGTGTAAAATATACAGAAATATAAGATCTATTTCAATAAATATACTACTTGTAAGTTTGAAAAGCAAGTAAGATCAAAATAATAGTTTGAAAAGTGGCTTTCCCTCATTGCTATCAAATCAAAATAACAAGATTCAAAAGCGCATGATGCATTTGGGCTAATCCATCAGAATTTTTGTTTGTTAAAATTTGCCTACTTTAAACATAGAGAGAACATCACTATTATAGAGCATGCTGAATGGAACAAGGAGACAAGCAAGTTCCCATATTGTCATGCGACCCCTTCAGCGAGTGAATCAAGTTTTATGACTAATAATCTGGTCTGGTGAGAAACAGGATCCTCAGACTGTTAATCGAAAAAAGGCGTTTGCCAAGCCTCGCTCAGTCCGGCAGTCGTTATCACAGTCAAATAGGATGCAGCCAGGCTATTAGAACTTGGCGGTCCGGTTGGAGACCACATTCCAGAGTGGAGGTTGGCAGGTAGGACAAGGCAAGTCAGAAATGCGCTTATAGCATAGCTCGTGGGGACAGGCCATCGGACTCAAGTCGGACAGGAGTTCAGAATAGTTGGCCGGCCAACACATCCACATTTCTCTCCCTACAACATAGGCTGAATCCACCAGACTAGTCAAGACAAAGTTATGCATCTAAAAAGCGCATACTCCTGGCTTGATTCTGCCCAAGGGATAATGGCGATGCAGTGAGAATTTCGGTACTTCTTCATCGTCTCATCGATCTATTATCCATTACAACAAACAGAATGATTGTATTCAGCTGACGAGGTCTGAAATGTATTGTGATTAACAATAGCTTGATGTTTTTTATATCTTTACAAGTCCAGATATGTATAAATATGTCTACACTGTATAAAAATAAAGCTTGGCCCTAAATAATTTATGGTTCCACGATCCGACTGATAAGCAGCTACAACTAAGGCCAAGAAGAACAATATATCCGATGCGAGTATGCTTTAAGGCTATGAGTGGATATAAAATAGTGACTCAATTCGAACTAGGCCACTTAGGATGATGAAATGACGAGTAATTAAAATTTTCTCAATTAAATGAATAGCCTCACGATGCCGTTTAATCTGATCTAGTCTTGTCTCTCGAACGGTTTTCTTGTTCAGGCTGGACTTCAGTTTCTACCTCGCCTCATCGTTTCATAAGTGCCCCCCAACAGGACTCGAAATTAGAGTTATTCACTTAGATTTATTGGTAACCTTGAAATACAACTCAAAATGCACTCTGGGACTGGAACCGAGTGAAATCGGTCAACCAGAAAGATAAGGAACGGATCTACGAGACAATGAGGGGA